CACCTTGACTTCAGACTTCTAGCATCCAGAACTGTGAAAGAATACATTTCTGTCATCTAAAGATACCCATTTTGGGGTAGTTTGTTACAGCAGACCTAGAAAACTAATTCACCATGTTACATGTTTTCATACTTTTTTATGCTTTCTTTCCTAGCTCTTAGTAAACAATTATTACATATGAATTATCAGGAAATACGGATGGTGCAATAGTATTAGTCTGGCATTTTTGTGGAGGCCTCCTTAATAGAGATGGTCATAATCTAAACCAGTATCTCAAATGGTAAGGACATTAAAGGGCTCGTAATTTTGAGGGATCATGTCAGTGGCCAATTACTTCAGCTTCTCAGAGCTAGTCTTAGATACATGTCACAGCGGTTTCTAATGTGTAAGCTATCCAAACAGGTCTTTTTTTTTTTTTTTAAATAGTAACAGATTGCCATAGAAGGACCCTGAGGTAAGAGTCAGAACCATTGGTTCTGCTTTCCCCTTTGCCTCTAGGGGATCCTGAGCAAGTTCCTTAACAGTAAAAGGAGATTGTTTAGACTAAATAGTTCCTGCGGCTCCTTTGGCTGGAACATTCTGTGGTTTTATGATTGTAATGAGGAGCGATCGTTAAAAAGACAGTATTTGGTTCTAAAGCACAAGGTTCCTGGTCACTGCTGGTCTTCTTCCATGAAGAGTATCTATATCCAGGGATGAAACATTAACACAAGATGATGACCCAATCTGATGCTGGACCAAGATGACGACCCAATCTGATGCTTAAAATGTGTAACTACTGGTTCTGTCCAAGCTTGTTTGACTTGACGAAAGTAATGGAGTAGATGTTTCTAGGATTCTCATTAACAAAAAAACCGTGTAGGTGGCTAGGCTGTCTAGTCACCTCCTTTTTCTGGAAAGCAGTTCATTCACCTGTAACAAAAGACGGGGAGAAGGTTAGAAGCCACGATTCTCACGATCTCTTCCAGCTCGGTGACTTCAAGGCAGGTTTTGTCAAGCTACCGAGAGGAGCCTTGAGCTAAGTGTCAGGTCATGGGTCAACCTCAGGAGCCTGTGTTGTCCACGTTTGAGTGTGTTGGGGCCGTCTGTCTCCCCCAGAATAAGCGATTATATGAGCAACTTTTGGCAAGAATGAAATCCTAACTCTGACTAATGACGTGGACATTAAGAAATTCACTGAAAGAGTTTGCATCTTAGTTTCCCCATCTGTAAAATAGGGATAGCTACTGGTAAAGTTGTAAAAACGTCAAGAGTTGAGCAGAAGTGCCTAGTTTTTGCTGGGTTTTTCAAGTGTGATTTCCCATAATCCTTTAGAAGCACAACGGAAAGATAACCTGCAGTGGCACAAGCACCACGTATCTCTCTGACAACTAGACACACTTCGACTGGTGGTAACGAAGCCACGGTGCCGGCCACTTCCGGGACAACACTCTCACTTCCGGCACTCACTGCGCAGAGCCACGCCCTCACGCTGACGCAAGACAGCTCTGCACGTGACGCCA